ATCACCAGGAAGAAAAACACCTGGGGCACAATTTTTTTAAAAAATGATAAGAGACAGAGGCACAATTATGCTCCTACTGTGATTTCATTCACCCATTTCTCCTTCCCTTACCATATGCTAAAACATATAAGGAATGGTGGCTGGAATTGGGTATGTCAAGTTTAACGAAGAGAAGGACGAGGGGGGACATGATAGCAGTGTTCCAATATCTCAGGGGCTGCCATAAAGAAGAGAGTGTCAAGCTATTTTCCAAGGCGCCTGAAGGCAGGACAAGAAGCAACAGGTGGAAACTAAGCAAGGAGAGAAGCAACATAGAACTAAGGAGAAACTTCCTGACAGTTAGAACAATTAACCAGTGGAACAACCTGCCTCTAGAAGCAGTGAATGCTCCAACACTGGAAGTTTTTAAGAAGAGACTAGACAGCCATTTGTCCGAAATGGTATAGGCTTTCCTGTCTGAGCAGGGCGTTGGACTAGATGACCTCTAATAGACTTCCAACTCTTCTATTATTATTATTATTATTACTATTATTGTTATTATTATTATTATTATTTAGTAGGAATCAAGTTAACTCATTCATAATTAGTTTAATTCTTATCAAGCTGTGGAGAGGAGATAAAAGATCACAACTAACAAGGGAGGAATAAGAACAAATAAATTTAACTTAGATTTTCAATGAAAGAAATTGGAACTAAACTAATCCCTTAATCAAAGAGATTACTTTTTAATGGAATATTTTATGGGAGATTAAATGGGGATTTTTTCTTCAGAGGACATTTAGATTCTCAATTATGAAACATGTTGTCTAAGCATGGAATTCGGTTTGCTATAGATTTCAGCCAGTTACTATTTGAACTGGGACTTAAAAGCAGCTCTGGCAAATCAAAAGTAATTAAAAATAAATAATTAAACACTAATTTTATTTATTTAGCCCCCTCCTTTCAAAATGGTGCTCAGTAAGGTTTTGTTTTTTCTCTTACCGATGATATGCTGATTTCACTGCTAAAGCTGCCTCTTTGGCAATGCTACTCCCTGGTTTTGAATGGGAGTAGTTAGGAGTGACCCAAGATGACTTTTCAAGGATCATGGACCCCGTGGGGAAGGGGAGCCTTGAAGGTTCCAGTTCCCTCTGCAAGTGATTGAAAAGTCACTGGGCATGTCCACCTTCCTATCCAGCAGTTTCATTTTCTAAGCATGCCAGAATTTTAACTTTCACTTTTTGACTTTTTTTTTTTGCTTTAAAAGTTGATCAGCAGATGAATGCTGGTTTATTTCAACTGTTGCTAGACTCTTGCTTTTTCCCTTTTTTCCTTCTGATATGTATTATTCTGGATAACTTCTGTCCTTTCTGTATGGAACGCACAGCAACCTTCGAGGAGGTGGTGAAGAGACATTAAATATCACTGTATTTTTTTGAATTTGCGAAATACCTGGAGTTTATTTTTATTGAATTTTTCTTATAATTTTGGATTGAAATATATAGGAAAATATTTTTTTATTCTTTGTTCCCTGATTAAGTTCCACAGATTAAAATGGCTGAACAGTGTCTGAAATCTAAGAAAGAAGAGTGGGAAAATATGCAGCTTATAGCTGTTTTCCTCTTACATAAACTTAATCAAACTTTAATGATTCTTCAAAAAATGTTACAACCAGAAGCTTTATCTTTAGTTAAAGATATACAAAAGGACTTTGATTCAGTTCCAGATCAAAGAGATAGTCTCATGGCTGAAGAACCAGTGAAGTGAATTTCATTTGTTGTCCAGAAGTTTATGTTTAAGTCTGTATACAAATTCCTTTCCTCTATGAAGACAGAGGGAGACTGGATGGTTTTATTACAGTAAACTGGAAACTACTTTTGCTTACATTCTAACTCAAAGATAGCATATTCTGGAGGCTGAATTTACTTCATTTAATTAAACAACAATTGACAAGAGAGGATAGTAAGAAACAAGCATGGATTTTTGACCCAGGACAATCTATTTATAATTTTGGGACATCCAGGATAGTTAAGATACCATGGTAAATTTTCTATGAGTGGATTACATTAGCAGCTTCTTAACAGAGTGATTTGAAAATTTTATTCTGTTTTACTTTTATTGTTTTTCCTCCTAACTACTTTGTCACTAATATAACATACAGAAGACAGTTAAACAACTTGCTAATAGATTTAGTAGTTCAAAAATTTTGGGAGGGCCTGTTTTGCAAGAGGTGGGAACTAATTGTAGTAATATATTAATCAGTATTCAATTAGAGGGGATAATATGTGTATAATGTATTGTGTTGGGTTTTTTGATGAAACCTTTTTTTTAATGTTCTAACTGTTTTGTGTTTTGTGCTTTTTTCTTTTATATCTTTTTGAATTTTTATTGAGTTTTGTATTTTGTATTTTGACTTTGTTCTGAATAAAACAAAAAAGAATTAAAAAATAATTTTATTTATTTTTCAAATTTATATAGCCAAAGAAAACAAATGATTCTGGATGGCATACAATAAAGCCAAAAATATTAATAAATAACAACAATGATAATTAAAAACATGAAAAACTATAAAAACATCTAAAAATGAAATAATAGGTAAAAGGATATTAATAATAATGGAGCCACCATTTGTTTTTTCATAACAAACAATATGATAAAACAAAACATATAACATGTCTCTTAGATTATTACATATTAGCAGAACCAAACAAAATGCAAATTATTTATGATTCTATTATGAACTTGTGGTAATACTCTATTTTCGAGTGTTCAAATTAACCCCCTTTTAATTTATTCGCCACCTGGATATTAACCTGGCTATTTTCATTATAGTTTCCTCTCTTATCTTTACTGAAATTGTATTCCACAACTTATATTGAAGTTTTCAAAGGAAGGACAGACATTTTGATATCTGTCCCCTTGCCTCAAAACGTCTATGAACCTCATCTCATCCCTGTTCTGATCCCTGTTCTGCATTCCCTCAGTCCTTTACTTCTTGTATTATTAAACCTACTTTCTTTTAGCATGAAGCACACGTTAGGATAACATCTGTTAATGTCAGAAACATTCTTAATTCCAAGAAGTAGTCATGGAAAAGATGAGCCCGAGAACTTATGACAATGACTCGCAAGAACATCGGGGAGGGAAGAAATAATAAAAAAATCAAGATGGTAGCCATGGCTGTGAAATCATGGTGCCATCTTGACTGGGATAACAGCCAGAAAGCATTTATGAAGCAAGAAAGAGAAATCTGATTAAATCTGGGCTATAAATTATTTTAAAATATAATTTTGTTGAGGTTATGGTTTACCATCCCTGTATCTTTGATTGTATCTTTGATACGTTTTCTAAGAAATGAGATGTTCTTTAGTCAACTTGATTGGATTTTAAATTTTTGTGTTGTTCTCTGTCATATACCACCATGAATTAAAACTCTCATTGGAGAGTTTGGACAGATGAGATCAGTTTGTTTTATCTAACAATAAAACATATTAGATAAAACAAATTGATCTCATCTATCTAACCTTTGATGGTATTTTTGTCTTAGGCACTATAGGTATTGTTTCAACAATACCCATTATTTCAATAATTTGGATATTTTCTGTCTAAAAGTCTCAATAACTTATTTGAAGAAATTAGGCTCCCATCATTTGATAAGATTGGTCTTTCTACTTTCTACCTAAGAGGCATCTATAAGGGAGGCAATCAGAATCTTACTCCCTTTTTTATTGGTCACATGTATAACATTTCTAAAGAAAAGCCTTTAATTACAAAGTTATGACCATCATCTTGTCTTTTTGACCCCCTGTTCATGATTCCTCTGTCCTAGCTAGTTATTAAAGCACATGAGAAATGTTGTCTTCCTGACTAGTAGAGATAATAATTACTCTTCTGAGAGTGAAGAGATACTTCCCATCATTTTGAAGGAGCCAATTATATGATTAAACAAGACCAAAAGAAAAAAGAAAACAGTATAAAATAAAAATTAAATTAATTTTGTACTACTATATAGTAAATCTCCACATATTTAATTGTATTTCTATTATGTTACATTTTAAACCTTCATGGGATCATAATTTATGCATTCTTGTATATAAAGTAACAAGAGTCCAACTTTATTGATTCTTGGCACTATTTCAATGAAATTCACAATTACTATATGTGCATGCTTACTCAGAGGAAACTATCATTGGTTGACTTATCTTTAGCAAGATGTATGTGTTAATGGAACAAATCAAAATAGAAGGAGAATTTATGCACAGACATAGAGTTTCACAAGAAGATATTATGCTAATATCAATTTTTTTCTTCCATATTTTTTGCTTTATTGCCAAATACAAAACACTAAATTTTATCTCCTGGTTTTATGTGAAATTGTATTTTGGCAACCACATGAACAAACTATCAGAGGATCACTAGCCTAGGATCACTGGTTACTCGAAATGTCGCCAAGACACTTCCAATTTTACGCAGGAGAAAACCCAAATAACCAAAGACCTATATATATATATAATGTCTGGGTTAAAGGATTGATTTTATATTTTGAAATAAATTTTAAGGAATTACTGTCTCAATGACATGAACTAAGTGACACTATCTCATTAGAAAAGGCAATGCTAAAGGGGATGTGTGGGTTAATATATATATATATATATATATATATATATATATATATATATATATATATATATATCTTGTGGATTGCAAACCTTGTGGTGTAGGCTTTCCATGTGTTCAGAGAGATGCAGTGCTCTTTGGGCAATGCACTTCTTAGAAAATGCAAACTCATATTGATCTTGAAAAGCAAAAGAATTCAAAGTTAAAAGTTGCTTAAATACATTTTGCAGAAGTAAATAAACCAGTAGAGGCTGTCATCGTTGTAGTCGGAAACAGTTTTGCTTCCAGATTTCCTAATGACTCATTTTAAGATAGTGCCTTACAAGCCCTGGGAATTTCCTCTGACATGGTCCATTAGTATATAAGCCAGAGAAGTGGTGGAGCTCAATCAAACACAGGCCTTCTTTGGCAAACACTCTTCTGCTTTCCAGGATCCCAGGCAAGAAAATATTTCCCTGTCCTGTCATGGACTCCAAGGCTGCATTTTTGGCTCTTCTCTTGGTTTCTGCAACGCTGACCGAAGGTAGGCAGAGTTCGTATGATTTGTGTTAAGAGGCTAAACTATTTTCTGGGGAAGGTAAGCTTACTGTTTTCAGGAGGAAAATAATTGCTTGTAATGGAAAATTCATTTTCAGCAAGAAGCTGTTATTTAATAATTAATTGCTAAATGGATTCTCAGAGGTCTTTTGACTTCCAAAGGAAAATATACTTTTTTAACTTTTTCTTCTCTTTTTAAATGAAACTTACTGAATGCAGCTTATGCATTAATTTATTTAAAAGGACAGATCTTTCAGAAGATGTTATTAATAAATGACACTTTTGATTCTAAAGCAACCTACCTTTGAACACTAGATGCTAGGAAATATTAAGGAGGAATAGTTGTATTTACTACAACTTTTTAATAATCTGGATGGCTGTTAAATGCAAGCAAAAGGTTTGATGAGAGATAGACCTATAGTCTCATCTAATAACACAATAGCTATGTAAATATTTTTTTCCTACAATCTATAAATCAAAATGTTAATATTTCTTTTTTAAAGGAGGAGTAATAGATAAGAGAATACTGATAGGAATAATTAACGACTTTAGGGATAATCGTGGTGATTTTCTTAAATCAGGCTATAGAAAAGCATATTACAGCAAGACTTTGGAAAAGAGGTTTAAAATAAGGAGAGTTTAATTATTTTCTACACTTCTGTTTTTTTATAGGAGCTTCATTGGCCCGGGTAGGGCTTGAACTTCGGTGTCAATGTATAGAAACCTATTCTAATCTCAGCCTCCGCGGACACATTGCAAGTGTCAACTTGATCAAAAGTGGGCCACACTGTAGTAACATTCAGGTCATGTAAGTACACTTTTGCTATTTCATATTTGTAATTGGGTTTAAGGCATGATCTGCTGTGAAGCTCTGCTGCCCAATTGCCACATGCAAATTTGTGCACAGGTCTTCTGGAACTATTAGCATCAGCAGATGCTAGTGGCACGAGAAATTGTTGGTCCTGTATATTGGTGTGATTTGTATGATTGGAAAAGCATAAACAGACAAACTGAAAGACAACAAACTTCTACAAACTCAGTGCTTTATTATCCTGATTTTCATTTGTTGCAGTGCAACTCTTAAGGATGGCAGACGAGTGTGCTTGGACCCCACTGCAACGTGGGTGAAAAAAGTCATCACAAATCTTCTGGAAAAGTAAGTATTTATTTTCTTCTAATTTTAAAAATCTCACAGTACAATTTTCTGTATGTGCTTATTCAAAAGAAGTCTCACCAAGGATAGAGCTTAGAATATAGAACATAGGTCATAGGGGACTGGAAGAGACCTTGGAGGTCTTCCAGTCCAACCTCCTACCCAAGGCAGGAGAACCTATGCCACTCTGGACACAAATGGCTCTTCAATCTTTTCTTAAAAGCCTCCAGTGGTGGGGCACCCACAGCTTCTAGAGGCAAGTTGTTCCACTGACTGATCTCAAGTCAGGACATTTTTCCTTAGTTCATTGAACTGGCCAGAGATAAGTCTCACTGTTAGATAAATAAAGGAAAGATTCTGAAATTGGACATACCTGGGGAGAGACTGGGATGACTACCTATCAGTATTTTCTTCTGGAAATTTGTTTTTATAGGCATATAGCTTATCTCAATCAAACAACTCTTCATTTTTTTCTTATCTTTTCTTACATTTCTTTTATTCCAGGGCTAAGGCTAATGCGGAGACACAGTCCTAAGAAAAGTTTCAAATTATATTACTGTTGACATCCTTAAAAGAAGCTGAGCCATTTCCAACAAACCTACATTTTAAGAAGAGTCTTTTATATCAAGAATCCTGAAAAATTATTTATTGTATAATTTCATTAACAGAAAATCATTAGAAATACATCTATCATATGCATAGAGGAAATGCACTAATGCAAAGATGAGATGGATAATAAAGATTTGGAAAACAAAAGGCATTACTAAATGCAGTTAAAATGGAAGTTCCGTGGTGATTGCATAAAGTTACCATGATATTGGCAATACTTCCTGTTGCCCTTGGGCACATGACAACCTACAGATTTGCATAAGTATGGATGAATCAAAACCAGCCTTGGGCTGTCTATTGCGAGAATCAGGTTAGAATGCCAGGCTAAGGAGGTCCAGGCTGAAAGCCCAGTTTGGCCATGAAATTCCTGAGATGCCTTCATCTAATCACCTCATGGGATTGTTGGGAGGTCAAGGGGCAGAGAATCATGTCCTGAGCATTGATGGAAAGACTCATTATATTCACAAATGTGCATTATTCTCAGTGTGTTTCTATATTATTTATTGATATAAGCATATGTGGAGTATTATTTATTATACTAGAAAATGTTTGTGTCTGAGCATTTTAAAAATATAATGTTTATGTTGAGGGAACTAGATATTTGAAAGAATGGTTATAGTGATTTTTTATGTGAAAAACTCATTATCCAGAAGAAACATCTGGAATGTTTACATTCATAACATGATCATTCAAGACTTATTTATATATTTATTGAACAATTACTGAATACTGTCAAAATATTTTTGTACAACCAATGTGCAACTAATTAAATTATTTTAACCATGAAATACTTATTTTAGTTTTGTCTTTTAAAAATATAATAATTTAAACAGTTGATGATACCTCCCTTTAGTTTTATACCCTGTCCTCAAAGAATTCACTGATAAGCAGGATAATAGTACAATATTATTTATTTCTCTTTCTTGACAAACACTCACATGAACACATTTTATGATAGTGTTTTGGCTTCTATAACAAGTGAAATACCTTTGAACATTGAGCCCATTTATAATTGAAGGTGGGATTTCTCTTCCTCTATCCCTTCCTATCTTCCTTGCAAAGTTGCTTACAGAAGTGTGATTCAATCTTTTTCCACCTCTCCCCCCACTTGGAAGAGAAATTAAACTCATAAAAACCCCTTCATATATTTACAGTCACATAATACATAGTATAAGGACCTTCCCCAGCTGGTCTCTCAGGAAAGCAAAACTGTTGACTCCATTGAATTGAATGGAGAGAATGTGGATCCAGTAAAGTCTGAGAGCCCGCGTAAAGCTCAGAGCAATTCTTCCAGTTCCCCCATGACCAGTCCACCAACAGCCAATGTAATGCGGCAAGGTTGTTTTGAGAACACTGAGGTGCTAGGCAGATAACAGGGCACCCTCAGGGCATGATGGCCTTGAAGCCAGGCTGGAACCAGCTGGGAGATAGTCTGCTCTGTCAGAAGACAATCCCCCTCCCTAATTCCCAAGCAGTTACAGCAAAAGCAAAAGCATATGAAAGACGCCAGTAAACATTCCTTTCCCTCCGCCCTTTGCCCAGAATGGCAAGACATGCTGGTGGACTTGACATACTGCCCCCCTATCAGTCCTATTCACAACCTAACACAACCAACAGGGAGAAAGGATATTGTTACAAACAGAAAGAGGTCATTTAGGTTTGTCAGGATATTGAAACGTTTGAGAAGTCTAGGAGCCCTAGGCCCTAAGTAGTCAACCCATTCATTCTGGACATCAGGGAAATCCTTCCAGGCTACTAAATATTGAAGGTTTCCTCTGTGTCTACAGGAAACTGAAACATTCCCCCCCACACTACTACTGAAACACAGTAGTACTATACCTGACATGACATGTATTCACTAAAGCATAAAAGAATACATTCAAATGTAATCCATGCTTAAGCCATTTTTGGCTATCTATACTTAGGCAGGTTCAATTGTTTTAATTATTCTGTCTAATTTTGCATTCCTATTTGCATACTTTCAAACTGTTAAGTTAGCAGGAGCTAGGGTAAGGACAGAAGCTTACCTCATTGTGTGACACTTGGGTCTCAAACAAGCTGAGCCATTATGCTGCCCAAATGGACTTTGGTGGAAAAGTAACAGTACTCCGTGATGTCATGCTGGCCACATGACCACAGGAACTTCTTCTGACAGCACTGGTTCAATGATTCTTGAAAGGGAGATGAATACTGCCCTTTATAGTTGGCAATGATTAGCCAAGTAAAATCTACAGGGATTCCTTTTATCTTTAATTTTGCATACTGCCATGCAAATACTGACAACTTCATGTATTTCAAGTTTGATATCAAAAAGGAAAAATGGTTGTACTGTTGGTTGATGAATCCTGTTCTGCTGGTCAGGGAGAGCATTTTGAGATTCTGCATAAAGCTGGCAATATAGGAGAACATAGTTTTGACCTGTCCTGAGTCTTAGGGACATACTTGTAATAGATCTTTTTTTAATCTTCCAGTCAAAGTGCTGAAGGGAGAGCATTTTACTGGGTGAAGGTGAAGGCCCTTCTCTGATTTAGGATATTAAGTTATATGAGATATATAGCTGCTGCCAGACTGAATCTCAGATTATCTATCATGAAAAACTGAATGGTATTACCAGCATCAATTTGAGGATGTCAAACAAATATTGCTTAAGTCTGGCCCTTGTTGCTCATAGTCCAAAATATAAGTAAATGGGAGAAAAGTCCTATGAGAAAAGGCTCATTGTAAACTACTGGCTTCCACCCACTTTGAAATCTGTATTCTAATGTTATGGAAAGCATATAGGGGAAAGTGTCAGCTTCAGCCAATAAATACAACTTGCTATATTCTAGTCCCTACTCCCACCATTCCACTTTCCATGCCTAGTAGAGCACTGGGGACATAGCAAGGAATTTAGGAAAATGCTGTTAAAACTTCAGATTGTACAAGTTCCAGTGCTGCAAAAGTGAGGAAGAATGGAGTACCCAAGTTGTGCAGCATATATGGTAGTAACTGAACTAGGAGTTTGGTCTCAAAGAGCTTAGTGGCTGCAGGTACACACTAACATTGTCTAGAATTATGAAATCTTAAAATAATTGCTATACTCCTATTTGCATTTTGTGAATCATAGTTAGCATTGGCTCTTTTATTTGCATTAGCCTGGAAGATTACCCACAGGTATCAAAAAAATTGCATATTAGCAATAGCAATAGCATGTAGATTTATGTACAGCTTCACAGTACTTTGCAGCCCTCCCTAAGCAGTTTACAGAGTCAGCATATTATCTCCAACAATCTGGGTCCTCATTTTACTGACCTCAGACAAATGGAGACTAAGTCAACCTTGAGCTGGTGAGAATTGAACCTCTGACAATCAGCAAAATTAGCCTGAAATATGCATTCTAACCACTGTGTTATCACAGCATCATTGTTAATAGTTCAGGAATGCTTTTTGTTTATCAGTTTTTTCTTTTTTTCTTTTTTCAATTTATGTGCTAACCATCTCCCTGGTTTGTTAGTATTTTCAAAGAAGTTCTATTTAGTGCTTTTAATTTGTTGAGCCATTGTTTCCACTTCTATGAAGTTTAATTTATGCTTTATTATTTCCATTTGCTTTTTAAGGGTTTTTTTGTGGGTCTATTTGTAATTGTAATTCTAATTTTCTAAATTCTTCCTTCAGCCTTAACTCTTGTTGTTTTCTTTCTTTGTTCTTTTTAGCAGTATAAGTTATAGCCAACCCTCTAAAATATGCTTTAGCTGTATCTCACACATTTTGAAGTGATGTCTCTTCTTTCTTACTTAGTTTGAAAAAAAGTCCATTTCCTTTGTCGCTAGTTGTATAAATTCTTTTTCTTTCAATATAGATTTGTTTAAGGACCATCTTAATTTTTACTTGGTTTCTCTCCAAGTCATCTTTATTGGATTATGATCTACCCCAATATTAGTTCTATCTCTATTTCTTGTACATACTGCTAAGTTCAGAGGATATCCATATCATATTAGTTCTAGACCATAATTTGTGTCTATTTGAATAAAATGTATATTACAATTTTTTTGGATGTTTTTCTTTCCATATGTCTTGAATACAAATTTCTTCTGCCATTTTAGAAAAGGCTTTAGGTAATATATTTCTTCCTTTCTTCCCTATTTTAGTACTTTTATAGTCCAAAGGTCCATCAGCTATTGCATTAAAGTCTCCCATTATACAGAAATTTTAATATTCCAATTCTAATATTTTTTATGTAATTTTCGATAAAATTCTTCTTGTTTATTGTTTGGTGCATATATTGCTACCATCAGTATCTGTTTTTGGTCCATCATTATTTCCACCATTAATACTCTTCCCTCTTCATCTGCATAAGTTTGTTTAGGGTTCATTGTTTCTTTAATATATAGAGCTATTCCTCTTTTCTTTTGTTGTGCTAATGCAAAATGAAGTTTGCCAATTTTTGGTTGCTATAACAATTTATAGTGTTGTCTCTTTTTTTATAATAATTTTTATTAGTTTTCCAGTTTTACAATTGAGTATTTAGAAAGCAACGTGGTGATTGAATTAGTCAATAATTCAATAACAACGTCTTTAGTACATATCTCAGGTTACATCATCTAAAATTCTTTCTCTATTTCCCTTAACATTTGCTATATCATATTTAAACTAGTAAATTTAAACTAGTAACTTATCAATATATTTTTGCTTATACATATCCATATCCTGTTTTTAAGTTTTACCTCATTTTAATATTTAACTGCAATATTCCAATTTAACCTTTAATATCCATAGTATTTAATTTTCGGGTAGCCAAAATTTCCTTTCACTACATAGAAATTATACTACTTAAAATACACATATTACTTATGTAAATATATTCTTATTTTATTTCATAAACATTTTCTATTTCTCATTCTAGTACATCACCACACTAATGGAGTATCCTTTATTATCTCATGATCTGCGTTATCTGGGTTAAACAATAATTCAAAGCTATTTCCTAATAATTGATTTTCATTTCCCTTATAAATCTAGGTCCTCAATAGTAAGCCAATTAATCCCTTGTTTTTTATTATTTTCCAACAATATTTAAATCTAACAATCAAAATTCCCTTCATCTCAAAGTCTCCTTTTAGCCCATTAGTTGAAACTTTAGGATCCTCTAATAAATCAAAAGGTCTCATTTTTTAAATCTAATTCTAGTTTTCTTTTTATGCCAACCAGGTTTCCATACCAATGCTTTTAGATCATCAGATAGATCTCCCTTCATTTTTGCACATGTTACTTGAATTAAAGGAGACCATATAATTGTCAATTTTCTAGCGAAATTAGCCCATTTATAATCATTAAGTTGTCACCCTGATGACACAGATCCCCATATTTGCTCTAGTATATTTGTCTTCCATTCAATCTGGTCTTCTTCTTCCTCAGGTTTCGTCTTGTTTAAGTAAAGAGTCATGTCCAATTTTGTAGTTGTTGTTTGATTGTCTAAGTTATCAATAGGCTGTACTTGCTGATCTTTAACACCCTCCATCTTGGTATTACTTTCTTCTGCTTCTGATATTTTTTGAATTACAGGTTCTTTAGTTGCAATCAGGGTTTGATTGTCTAAAACAGTGGTGGCGAACCTATGGCATGGGTGCCAGAGGCAGCACTCAGAGCCCTCTCTGTGGGCACACGCTCCATCACCCCAGTCCTGGGCATTCAGGTTTTATAAAACCTTTTCGCTTTAGGCCCTGCCACTGTGTGCAAAAAAAAAAAAAAAAAGGTTCAATCAATCAGTCAATTTCAACTTCTCGTGGGAAAAAAAGATC